TCACCAAGGCCATTATTTTGCATTTACTGATCCTTCATCTTCGTTGTCAACCTGTGCATTCTAATCATCAGTAATTATCAATACATCTTGATTGCATGTTTGATCAAATTCAGAATGAAGAAGTTGGTAGAATTCTTTAATTTCATCATCACTGGCTTTAGTGGTTGGTGTGTACACTTGAATAATAGTGGTATTAACTGGTCTTCCCTGTAGGCACATGGATATTACCCTATCACAGACAACATTGTACTTCAAGCCTTATCTTGATACATTCTTTTTCAACTCCTCTTCAATTTGTTATTCCTGGCATAATAAACCATGTGATTGTCAGATTCATTTCAGTTCACTAATACCTAGGATATGGGTGTTTATGCATTCTATTTCATTTTTGACTATTTCCTATTTTCCTAGATTGATACTTAGTACATTTCATGTTCAGATCATTAATGGATGTTTACAGGTATTTCTCTTCATTCTGAGTTTTACTCCATCAGCAAATGAAGGTCCTGAGGACTTTATTACATTTGCATCATCACAGTCAACTCTACTTTGAGGAGGCAGCTCTTCCCCAGTCTATTTTGAGTGCCTTCCAACCTGAGGGGCTCATCTTCCGGCACTATATCTGATAGTGCTTAACTGCTATTCACAAGGTTTTCAGTGACTAAATATTCTGAAGTAGTCTGTCTCTCATTCTTCCTAGTCTGTCTTCGTCTGGAAGCTCATTGGAAACCTGCCCACCAAGGGTTATCCTGCTGGTATTTAAAATACCCGTGGCATAGCTTCCAGAATCACACAATTCACAAGGCACCACAGTATGACAAACTGACAGACAAGTGGTGGATTGTGGATAATATTCTGCATCTAAAGGGAAGCCATTAACCTGGGGAAAGAACCGTTATCATTTAACTCAGATTATAAAGGTTGGTTTAAAAAAAAATTTTTTTTTTTTTTTGCAGTACTTTGCATAGAACAGTTTTTATAATTGGTATATTCCCACTATAACTTTAGGACTCACCTAGCCATTGATTAAGTGTAACAGAACTTGGGTGTATATTAGTTACCTTTAAGTCACAAGCTTGTCTTTTGTGAGTTTCAGAAATAAAGAGTTGCCTATTATTCTTTTGTGATACTCTCAAGAGAGAAACAGAAACTCATGGCATATAAACTTTAGTTTTCAAAACATAAGTTTATAGTACAAAATGCTACATCTTGCATGTGATAAAACTACTTGTTCATAATACATGGATACTTTCATTCCAGTCATTTTAGTTTGAAAGAGTTCCTTAATTTCATTCCAGTCATTTTATTAAAAAGAGTTCCTTAATTTATCCTCTCATATTCTTTGCCGTGGTTCTGTATGATGAACACTGGACTGTGAAACACAAGGTCAGTGGTTCATGCCCACCAGCCTGCTTCATGGGAGAAAGATGAGGTTTTCAGTTCCTGCAAAGATTTACAGCCTCAGAAACATTATGCAGGCTCACTATGATTTGGAACTGGTACTCAGCAACATTCTTTCCCCATAAGAAATCAGATTACAAAAAAATGGTAATATGAATAAATATCTTAGCAAATGCACTTATATCTTTATTCCATGCTAGATGGCTTCCATGGTTTGAATTCAACTGGCACAGAAAAATTATTTATTTCCTTTTTACTGGTTACAGTTTAGGAATAAATATGTTTATAAAATTCAATAACATTTAAAAAAGGAATTCATTGCAATACTAATAGCATTGATCATATATGGATACCTGCTCCATGCCAGACACTGTGCCACATGTTCTATATACATTTTCAGTACAAGTGAAAATTATTCCATTTAGTAATGTGGAAAGCAAGGCTTAGAGAAGTTGAACAACTTTCTCTGGATTGCACTGTAAGGGACAGAAACAAGATTTGCCACTAGTACTGTCTTGTCTCTTTCTTCACTATTCCCTAGTGATCTCTCCCAGGGCCCAGAGTCATGAAGTCTATGCAGTATAGTCTCAGCCACTTCCTTTAGTTTGGCTCTCTGAGCCTTTACCCCACTCAGCAAGATGTCTATCCCCCTTCCTTGCTTTGGCATGTGTGAAGTTATGAATTATCTAACGTCTCTTTTAGCCATAATCTGTATAACTCTCACCAACGTTTCTGCCCTGCTGGGTATGGGTAAGAGAAGTTGAAAGAAGATACTGATAGGATGACATGATTCAGCTGTGGATGTGAGCAGAGTTCATTGCACTTGTAAAAACTTGAAGCTCTAGCATGAGTAAAATAAAATGAACCATCTCAGAAGCAGGAGGAGGGATCTTACGAATATCAAAGAAAAACAGCCAGGAGTGGAGCACATCCTTTAGACCCCAACATCCCCATGCATCGAACCTTCTCGATTCAGAGAGAAAGCAGTGATAATAGAGGAGTGGCAGAGGAGCTACAGCTATAGAGTCAGGAATCAGGGCATGAGACAGAGCAGTGGGCTTCTCAGTCTTCCGAGCAAGTAAAGCTGAGTGACTCTGGGCAGGAAGCTTGCTTATAGAGTGGAATACCTCCAGGCATGTTAGTGAGGGAGCTAGGTTTGCTGACCCAAGGAACTAGAGTTGAGTGCCTTCAGACTGAGACACATGGTCGTGTGTCCTAGGAGCATTTATCAGCAGCTGACTGGGACAACTGTGCCCTGAGCATTTCTGACCCCAAATTGTAACCTGTTAACTTTCCTAATAAATCCTATAACTGTGAGTATGCTGTCTGAGTTCTGTGGGTCACTGCAATGGATTATTGAACCCAGCTGACAAGTAGAGAGGGTTGTAGGCAGAATGAAATGGTTGGGGCTTCATATTTTTGCAGCATCTCATATTACTGTTGCTAAAATGAGTTTCCCTTCCAGCATTGCTTAAATTGCTCTATTAAAGACTGTCAATAACTTCTCAATCCACAATTTCCATGGCTTTATTCAGACACGTCTTCTTGAACCTGGGCAGCATTCCTGTCCCAGCACTCATCCCTGGCAATCATGAGCCAGCTCTGTCCTGGTTCTACTTATGACTTCCTAACCGTGCTATTTCTGACATTTCTTCCACTCTGTCCCCAACCACTGTAGGATGAGCACTGGAGTGGACTGCTAACTACAAGGTCAGTGGTTCAAACTCACCAACTGCTCTTTGGAAACCCTATATAGCAGGGGTAGGGAATCTTTTTGCTGCAAAATTTTTAACATCATTCATTGGCCATACAAAATAATGAACTTATATTTGGTCAAAATTTTAATTACTCACCCCTAATGAGTTGGAACCAACTCAATGACACTTAACAACAACAATATGATAAAACATAGGACCAAAGGTCGGTTTGAATTATAAGGTCGCCAGTTCAAACTCACCAGCTGCTCCTTGGAAACCCTATGCAGGGTTGATATGAGTCAGAACTGATTTGACAGCACTTAACAACAACAATGGAATGATGGAATTGTAGCTGCCTTGGCAGGGCCAGACCAAATGATAGGGCTGCATGTCCTCCACCTCTGGTATACAAGGCTGCTATGAGTCAGAACTCGATGACAATTAACAACAACAAATAAAGTGATTGCTGCAATTATTTAAAAAATACTCTGTGAATCATGATCCTGGGTTTATGTAACTGAATCCACTTCCAAGTTCATCTACCAGATAATCTTAATCTTTCTTATTCTCCCTCCCCTCTACCATCACTCTCATGCACTCTGAAACAATATTCTAATTGCCTAGATATACATCTTTTCTGGACCTCAAATATTTAAATTCAGCCTGTCTAGAATAAGAATCACCCCTTTTCTCCTCAAGCAATTCCTCCTCTAACTTCTGTCAGTGGTAACCAGAGAAGAATGAGGCAAGAGGCAGGCCTCTACTTGCAGGAGCCAGGCAGTGAATAAGTACCTCCTTAAATTTTGTGCCCTGGGCACCATGCTCTCAACTTAAGGTTACCCACCTAGTCAATCAGATTCAGAAGCCCCAGATTATTTTAGATTTAATTCCACTTTTGCACAGTTCAGCCAACAATTTCCTAAAACCTGAAGATTTTATTTCTGCAATGCCTTTTACATGACTTCCCCTTGTTATTGTTGTGGTTAAATGCTGTCGAGTCAGTTCCGACTCATGGTGATCTTGTACAGGGTTTACGAAGAGTGGCTAGTGAATTTGAATCGCTGATGTTGTGGTTCATACTGACCTTGCAGTCCAGTGCATTACCCTTCAGTTTGTATCCCCAGAATTGTATCCCCACTTAAACATCAGAATAGCAGTTACCAGGAAACAACCTCTAACCGACCGACCCACCTCTAATTCACTTCATCCTGCCCACACTGTCCCTTAATCCTTCTGAAGCTCAGTTTTCATCTGTTCTCTAATGCATCACTCCATCTGCTCTGTAATTGTCACTGGCTACCTATTGCAGGTTGAATCACCACATTTATAAATTCACTGTAGCATTCTCCACAGCACTGCTTCAACCTGTCTTTCTGGTCTTACAGCACCACCACCTCCCTGAGCTTCACCTGACAGACACTGGAATGCCTTGTTTCCAGGACACACCTTACTGTTGTCCACCTTGATGCATTTATAGGTCTGCTATCCTAGCTAACCTTTAGTATCCTGCTCAATCTAGACCTACAGTATTCTCTCAAAGCCCTTCCTGATTTCCCAACTCAGAATCCCAGGGTTCCTCACCAAAAAGCTCTCTGTGGGGCCTTCCTAAGTTTACAGTCCCAGGTATTTGGTCTTCTCCCACCTCTAAATGGGCCAAGTCTGCAACTAGTGTGTCCCAGAAAAATCACTGCAATGCTTTAAACATGCCAGCCACTAAAAAAGAATGAATGAATGAAGGAGGGCAGAAAGAAGATACAGTGATCTCCCTTTTAAAGAAGAACCAGAGTAAAAACACTGAAATGACCTGCCACAAGTTCCAGCACAAATCAATGCATAGCAGAATTTGGTATTAGCTGCTCCTAAGGGAGTTCTGGTAGCGTAGTGGTTACGAATCGGGCTGTGAACCTCACGGTCAGCAGTTTGAAACTACCAGTTGCTCCACGGGAGAAAGATAAGGTGTTCTACTCCCATAACGATTTACAGCCTCGGAAACCCCGTTCAGGGTCGCTATGGGTCAGAATCGACTCGACGGCACTTTAACAACACAACATTACTGTTTAGCTTTCACTAGTTGTAATGTATTTAGCATAGAGCTTCACATTTCTGATGAAAATTTTAAGTCTGTTCTAACAGATCTAGTGTGCTGAGGCTTGTCATAAAAGTACTCGGCAGAAGACAAGCTAGGGGAGAGGGCTCAAGGGTTGTGCATGAGTGGTCTGCTACAAGAAAATCATTTAAACTGAGTATTTCACTTTAACCAGAAACCCAACCCGCTGCCACTGAGTCGATTCTGCCTCATAGTAACCCTACAAGGACAGAGTAGAACTACCCCATAGGGTTTCTGAGACTGTACTTCTTTCACCATACCTACTCAACCTGTATGCTGAGCCAATAATTCGAGAAGCTGGGTTATATAAAGATAAACGTGGCATCAGTATTAGAGGAAGACTCATTAACAACCTGCAATATGCAGATGATACAGCTTTGTTTGCTGAAAGTGAAGAAGACTTAAAATATTTACTGATGACGATCAAAGAGCACAGCCTTCGGTGTGGATTGCGTCTCAATGTAAAGAAAATGAAAATCTTCATCACTGGCCCAATAAACAACATTCTTATCAACAGAGAAAAAAATTGACGTTGTCAAGGCCTTCATTGTTTGATCAACTATCAACACTCACGGAAGCAGCAGTCAAGAGATCAGATGATACATTGCATTAGGCAAATCTGCTGCATAAGACCTCTTTAAAGTGTTGAAGAGCAAAGATGTCAGCTTGAAGACTAAAGGTGCACCTGACCCAAGCCCTGGTGTTTTCAATAACCTCATATGCATGCGAAAGCTGGACAGTGAATAAGGAAGACCGTAGAAGAAGTGATACTTTTGAGTTATGGTGTTGGAGAAGAATATTGAAAGTGTCATGGGCTGCCAAAAGAACCAACAGATCCATTATGGAAGAAGTGAAGACAGAATGCTCCTTAGAGACCAAGATGGACAAACTTGGACCTTCATACTTCAGACATATTGTCAGGAGACACCAGTCGCTGGAGAAGGATATCATGTTTGGTAGGGTGGAGGATCAGAGAAAAAGAGGAAGACCCCAGTGAGATGGATTGGCAAAGTGGCAGCATAAATGAGCTCAAGTGTGGCAACGATAGTGAGGTTGGCCCAGGATCAGGCAGTGTTTCATTCTGCTGTGCATAAGGTCGCTATGAGTAGGTACCAACTCGATGGCACCTAACAACAACAACTTTTTTACAGGAGCAAACAATCTCCTATATTTTTCTCCCATGAGGCAGCTGGTGGGTTCAAACCACCGACCTTTCGGTTAGCAGCCAAACACTTAGCCTATGGAGTACAGACAGTGGTGCAGTGTGTTCTCTCTATCAGTCTGGATACAAATAATGTGCCTTTTTTCTACAGAATCTGAGGAAAACTGATGTTCTAGGGAGATGTACCATACTTTTCTCCTGTAACTTTCCTTCCACCTCACCTTTAGGACACTGTCTTCCCCATTTTGAAAACCAGGAACTGAAAATGGAATTGAAAGACAATTGAATTTTTCCACAAACCATCTGTAGCCCCCTCATTTATTAATTTTTACTTATTTTCATCTCCATCATCTCTTATCAGCTCACTGTAGCTTTAACTGCTTACTTGTAAGCTTTCAGGAGAAATAAGTACTTGGGAGACAGAATCTCCAAACTGATTACAACTACATTTTTATGGGGAGAAAAGCTAAGCTACTTCTTGTTTTATATTCTAGAGCTAGTATCTTAAGTAGCTCAATAGATCTAAGGGGAGTGGGGACTGGGCCACAATTAGTCAGCGGGGCACACACTCTTTTTCTGAAAGGGCTTGCTCTGTCTTCTTTGAAAACCTCCCTTATAAATGCATATAGATGTCATGACTTGGGGATTTCTTTGTATCAAGATATTTGGTGTTGATATTGAAAGCAGACAGTAATGCTTATTCAAATGTATATGGCAATTTTATTTGCTTTAGTTCAAGCTTACAAATCCTAAAGGCAGGATCTGTATCCATTTACATTTAAATTGTCTTGGTATATACATCAAGCCTCGTACATGGCAAGGGCTCAATATTTATTAGACATATACATTTGAAAATCATTTTTTTATATCTTGCTCACTTTCTGTCCCTTAAATGCTGGCACCTTTTCACAAATCATATATTAACAGTGTTGTTTTTCCAAATGAGAAGTTATTTGAATTTAATAACACTGGCACTCTCGATGGTTGATGAAGGCAGACCTAAAGCACAGGTGCAAAGGGTCATGAGTGAGCACACATTCTGACAAAAGTGGCATTACAAGCAAGGAGACCCGTCCACCTTTACTTCTGCATATACGTGCTCACCTTGTCATCTGGCTTGCCAGATGTTGTAGTTATGCTAGCAACAACACTCTTCCCACCAGCAGAAACTGTATCCTGTGATTTATCCTAAGAGTAGGGATAAAAGAATGACAGGATTAAGTATCCTTGGATGATTTTCAAGACCAAGTTTAAAATGTCATGAGGTATAGAGGTTTTACATATTTGTTGACAGATATTCTGACTTTTTAAGAGCTGTTAGAAATTTTTATTTTATGTTCATTTTGTTAGCAACTAATAATTAAGAGCAATTTAATACTGTAAGCCAAAAAAAGTACACATGGCTGCATTTAACTAGTGGGCTAGAGATTTAACATCTTTGATAAAAATATACTATTTAGCGGACCTCATTCTTGCCTTCTAAGAGCGCTCAATGAGCAAGTTCTCATAGATGTTGATTCTTTTAAACACTTACCATTTGTTGTTGTTTTAAGTGCCATCAAGTTGGTTCTGACTCACAGAAACCCTATATTAAATTTCTGAGGAGCAATTGGTAGATTTGAACTTCTGACCTTGCAGTTAGCAGTCCAGTGCTTGTACTACAGCACCATGCCAGGACTCCAATTACCTACAGAATTATCTAATATACTTGATTTTTGGCTTTGCAAAAGTTCATCTCTTCTAAAACAAGTTTCTACATACTTTTCTAGTTAAAGCAGCAGCTCATACAGCTCTTGCATGTTGTCATAGCCTACGTACAGATGGGTCTAGAAGGCAGCGTCTAGCCAATCTCCTGCCTGTGAGGAACCAGAGCTTAATGCCTGGAGTCCTGGTGTGGTGCAGTACAATAAAGCACTGGACTGCAAGGTTGGCGGTTCAAACCTACCAGTCACTCCCCAGAAACCCTATACAGGGTTGCTATGAGTTGAAACAGTCTCAACGACACTTAACAATAATTGCTGCATCAGGGAGAAGGCTGAACCATGCAACCCCTTGACCTCCAAAATCAATAAAATAACAACACTAAATTATTACAATACATAAGATATTCAGTATAACCCTAAAGATTCACATACACAGGTCAGTGTGAATAGGGAAACCCTTATTTTACTACCTGGTTAATGTTAAAAAGAGCCCTGGTGTGGTACTGAAAGATAAGCTATCTGCCAGGGTAGCAGTTCAAACACATGAGCTGCTCTCAGAAACCCCAGACAGCAGTGATAGCGAGGAACCTTTTGTCTGCCAAAATTTATAACATCATTTGCAGTCCATATAAAATTATCAACTGAAAAACTAGCTTGTGTGTGGCACTATAGGATAAGCACTCAACCACATGTTGATTTGAATTACAAGGCTGGTGGTTCAAACTTACCAGCTGCTCCTCAGAAACCCTATACAGGGTCGCAACTTGATGCGATGGCTGAAAGAGCGGTTGACCTGGAAGGGTGTGACCAAATGATTTCACGGGCCTCATATGGCCTGTGGGCCGGACATTCCCCACCCCTGTTATACAGGGTAGCTATGAGTCCAAACACACTCGATGGCATATAACAATAACAAACAGTTGGCATGGAATTTACCCCAACTAATGGTGACTCCCATGTGTGTCAGAGTATAATTGTACTCCATAGCGTTTTCACTTACTGAATTTTGGAAGTAGAAAGTAGACTTTCTTCCAAGGCATTTCCAAGGTGAACTACAGCCTGTAATCTTAAGGTTTAGCAGCCAAGTGCCTTAACAGCTAGTGCCACTTAGGGCATCTCCAAGCTGATATTACGGTTTTCCTTTGCACCAACCTGCTTTATTTACCTTTGGTTCTGTTGATTTTTCTGTTGTCAGCTGCTCACTTGATCTGGAAACCGCTTTTTCTTTATGAACATGCTGGCCTCCTGTATCTGATGCATGTTTGGTCAAGCTTTTTGGCTGAAAGCAAACATCGTTAATAAGACGATAGTTTAAAATATAACTGATGCTTTTCTCTATGGAGTAGAAACAACTCAAAAGCAGTTGTGTTTTATGTGATTTTGAATTGCGTGAATTTGAATTGGTGTAATATGAAAATGTGTTGGTATAATTTCAGTTTAAATACAAAATGTGAAATGCAAATTATTTTCTGGAAATTCAGCAAGAAACCTAATTCCAAAGTCTGAGTACTGAGTAAGTTACAAATCCTGATGTTGCCGCCTGATAGCAGTATTTTAGAACAAAAAACACAAATGCTCACCATCCTCTGAAGGAATAAATCCTGAATGATAAATTTTCAATGATCTCTCACAAGGTAAAATGTCATCATCTTAAAATATTAAACCTTTAACCATAATCATTTACCTCTCTGTGTTCCTTTGGCTTTTCTTCTTGCGTTTTTTTCTCAGGAACCACAGATGCCTGTCAATTTTAAAAGATAAAAATTTAGTTACTTTTAAGTTCTTTGTTTTCAGATCCAACACAAGCTCAAGAACAAAAATCTCAAAAAAAATATTCTGCCTTTCTTAGAAAACTCACTTAGGTCCAGTTCTTGGGGATCAGATAAGCTGACACATACTGTCTGGTCAATAGTAATCTTACCAACAGTGTCTGATGATTTTCATTAGAGTAATGAGAAATTAAGTATTTAATTTAGAATGATCTTTACAAATATATATCTCTAAATTACTAGGTATATCTGATGAAGGAGCTCTGGTAGCATAGTGGTTACAAATCAGGCTGCTAATTTCATGATCAGCAGTTCGAAACTGCTGTGGGAGAAAGATGAGGCTTTCTGCTCCCATAAAGATTTACAGCCTCAGAAACCCTGTACAGGGTTGCTATGAGTCGAAACCGAGTCCACGGCACATAACAAAAACATATCTTATAATTCATGCAGATAAGTTGGGAACTGGCGGTCCATCTACAGAGAAGACAAATGATTAGTTTAACCACTGAGTTTGTAGATAAGGGAGTCCTGGTATGGCACTGGGGATTATGCGTCAGACTGCAAAGTCATTTGAACTGCGAGGACGGCGGTTCAAGCTCACCAGCCACTCCTTGGAAACCCTATATAATGTCGCTATGGGTCAGAACCAACGCCACTGGACTGCTTTTGGCAAGGTGTGTGGTCCAAACCCACCAGGCACTCCTCGAAAACGTCATACAGGGACAATATGCATCAGAATTAATTCAAAGGCATGTAAACAAAAACTATAGAAACTCTAAAAGTTTTCTAAAATCGCCTTTCACAGGAGATGAAGAACACTGTCTTTGCACAGCATTTTCTTTAATGATTTACATAACCTTTTCTCAATTCCTTTGAGATCTCCTAATAACTCAAAGCATTTAAACATGGAATATCAGACAAGCTCCTTCTAGCAGCCAAATTCTTCCCTTCTGCAATTCCTATCCTGGTAGTGGTGGGGGCGGTAAGGACGGAAGTGGTAGATATGATATCTTTCACACAATTAAGGAGGCCTGGTGGTACAGTAGCTTAAGTCTTGGACTGCTAGCCACAGGATTGCATTGTTCCAAGGGAGACAGATGAGACTGCTCCTGTAACATTTATAATCTTGGAAACTTTAAACAGCAGTTTTACTCTGCCTTACAGGGAATCCTGGTGTGGCACTGTGAATTAATGTGATGGACTGCAACGTCAATTTAAACTGCAAGGTTGGTGGTTCAAGCTCACCAGCTGCTCCTAGGAAATCCTATACAGGGTCACTATGAGTCAGAACTGACTCTATCGTGCTTAAGAACCACCACCACAACATAGGGACTCCTGGTATGGCACTCTAGCATAAGAACTGGACTGCTAAGTGCAATGGTTGGAGATTCAAACTCACCAGCAGTTCCCAGGACGCTCTATACAGTCACTATGAATCTGAACCAAATCAATGGCACTTAACAACAACAGAGGGAGGTCAAGAGTCAAAACTGACTTCATGGCAGTGGGTTTGTTTTGTTTGTTTGATTTCTAGTCACCTTTTACCCAAATGACCTCTCACCTGCACTTACAATACTTTGCTGTTGTTAAATGCCATTGAGTCTATTCCCACTCATAGCAACTCTGTATAGAGTTTCCAAGAAACATTTGCCCTACCTCCAGATACCCTAGGTCCACCACCTCCAACTGGAAGCCTAATGGCTTTTGGTTTAGAAAGCCAAGTCTGGAAATCAATGGGTGACCTTCCCAAGGGAAATTCTGTGCTATCTCCCACGGATAACCAATTCTATCACCCCAGACAAAATAGTTAGGACAAAGCCATCTCATCTTGAAGTTATCCATGTGTTATTTTCAACAAACAGATTATTATTGATGTCTCATATTTAAAGTAATCGGACATGCTTTTCTCAATACCCTTTGCTCTTTGTTCTTCTTGATTTAATTTTTAAAAATAATTACTTCACCTATGAGCCTTGGTATGGCACTGTAGATTAAGCACTGGACAGCTAACCGCAAAGTCAGTGGTTCAAATTCACTAGCTGCTCCTTGGAAACACTATAGAAGGTTGCTAGGAGTTGAAACCAACTCAGTGGCCCTTAACAACAACAGCAACATTATAACAAAAATCTAGATTTGAGTAAAATGCCTTTTGATATATATTGTTAGTTGTTGTTAAGTACTGTCAAGTTAATTCTGACTCATAGCGACTCTCTCTGTACAGGGTTCCGAGGAGTGGCTGGTGAGTTTGAACCTCTGGCCTTGCAGTTCAAACCAATCTTGTGGTCCAGTACTTACCTCATCATCACACCAGTAAAATATTACATATTCATTTCATCAACAGATTTTATGTTATATTATACTTTCTACAAAGATACTTCAAAAAGTTCATGGAAAATGGAATGGAAAGATACTGGGATTTTCTCACGAACTCTATGAAGTGTGATTTTACATGATTACATTAGAAAGAGTATTAATTAATTGACAATTAATTAGTTGACAAAAAATCCTTATTTAGTAGCTCCAAAGTAAAAAATTGGTTATTAATTCTTTATTCTTATAAAAAAAATTCCCAAATAACACACTGGAGACATCAATCATTTACCTTAGTTGGTTGTGACTTCTTTTCAGGTTCTGTTTTCACAGCCTATATTCACAAGGATAAAGGAAAAAAAAAAAGAATATAGCTTATAAAGATTAGCATAGATTTTCTTCAACTATAGAAACTCAAAAGAGGAGTTTGATCTAGTGTAGATTTTATTGAGTTCATTAAATTTTCTTCCAAATTAGAATTCTAGTTAAACATTTTAATACAATAATATTCTTCTCCTTTCCCACTGGGGGCTCATGGTTAAAGCACTTGGCTGCTAACTAACCACAGTTTTGCGGTTCGAGCCCACCAGTCACACCATAGGAGAAAGATATGGCAGTCTGCTTCTCTGAAGATTTACAGTCTTGGAAGCCCTAAGGGACAGCTCTACTCCATCCTATTGGGTCGCTATGAGTTGGAATCAACTTGACCGCGCAACGGGTAATTTTCTTCTCTTACTCTTCAGAAGACAATTTACATTTTACTTCTTGCTAGGTGTATCAAGAGATGTAAAGATGTATTATGATTAACACTGTCGCTAATACAGAATAAAATAGACTGTCATCCTTCAAAGTGAAGGATATAGTGTTACACAGCCACTTATATGGCCTCTTTATTAGTGAAATACTTACCACAGGTGTCAGCTGACAGTTTAAGACAATGGGATGGTGACAGAATTGAGGACACAGAAAGCCATGAAATTAATCTTTAGTGCCAGGAAGTGAGCAGTAGGTAACTCTGCCTACCAGAAAGCAGTGACATGCTCAGAGTGTAACAGAAGATCATGAGTCCCCCTGATTAGCATGTGCTAAGCGAATGAAGTGACTATTAGTCAAAAGACATGCCCAATACAATGAACTACATCACCTGCTTTCTGTGTCTTTTCTTGGTAGGAGAAAATGGTTCTTCTATCTGTTTGTTGATTAGAATGTCCTAATATTAGAGCATAGCCCCAACAAGGCTTACTAAAATTATCAGAAAATTTATCTGACCATCAAACAAATAAAATGTATAACTAAAGCTAAATTTTTATAGCAAGAGCCTTTTTAGTTCAACCCAATGCCTATAAGCAAATATGACTCAAGGAAATTATACGACGGTAAATCCTCTGGTCTCAAGTAGGTATTTCAGTTGGGGTTTGCTTTTTTCCTTCAGTGAAACAACATCAGTAATATTTCCACTAATAAAATGACTTGCTGTTCCCTTTCTTATCCTTCTCTGTGTATATGCTGCTTGAACAATATGATTGTCCACTTTGATTTCTAATGTTGCTTGTTTGCTTATAATCAACTAAGTATTTATAGGTCACCATTAAAAGTCTTCTGAAGTTCTGTAAACATAATCATAGAGCAATACTGTAAATATCTACTACATGCATTTTTATTCCACACATCATAACCCTAAAGGCAGAGACCTAATCTAAAATTCTAGGAACACTTTTACAGAGCTGGTTGTAAATTTAGGGTCTTTAGTGTAGAATTTCCACCACTCACTTGTCAGTTTGTCATACTGTGGTGGCTTGTGTTTTTCTGTGATGATAGAAGCTATGCCACTGGTATCTTAAATACCAACTGGGTTACCCACAGTGGACAAATTTCATCAGAGCTTCCAGACTAAAACAGACAAGGAAGAAGGAGAGATGGACTGCTTCTGAGAGGTTAGCTAATACTGAATACCTTATTGAACAGTAGTAGGGTGTTGTCTGACACAGTGCCAGATGAGACCCTAAGGTTGGAAGGCACTCAAAATATGACTAGGGAAGAGCTGCTTTCTCAAAATAGAGTTGGCCATAATGACATGAATGGAGCAAAGCTTTCAGGACCATCATTTTCTGATGGGGGACAACTCAAAATAAGAAACAGCTGCAACCAGACATTAATCATCGGAATGTACAATGTATGAATCTAAAAAAAACTGGAATTTGTCAAAAATCAAATAGGATGCATAAAGATCAACATCCTAGGCATTAATAAGTTGAAATGGACTGATATTGACCATTTTGAACCTGATAATTTTATGGCTTACTATGCTGAGAATGACAAATTGAAGAGGAATGGTGTCCTATTAATCGATAAAAAGAGCATTTCAAGAGCTAGAAAAGCACAGTGTAGTCTGTGGGATAGGATAATATTCATATGCCAACAAGGAACACCAGTTAATGTGACTACTATTCAAATATATGCACCAACCACTAAAGCCATTGATGAAGAAACTGAAGGATTCTACCAACTTCTTCAGTCTGAAATAGTTCAAACATGCAATGATGGTGCATTGATAATTACTGGTAATTTGTGTGAGACAGTTGGAAAGATTGGTAGTTGGAAAATATGACTTTTGTGATAGAAATGACAGTAGAGTTCACATGACACAATTCTGCAAGACCATCGACAGCATGGCTAATACCCTTTTTTAACAACACAAATGATGACCATACACATGGATCTCAACAGATGGAATCCACAGGAATCAAAGGGACTACATCTGTGGGAAAAGACAATGGAAAATCTCAGTATCATCAGCCAAAACAAGGCTAAGAGAAGGCACAAACAGACCATCAATTGCTCATGTGCAAGTTCAGGATGAAGCTAAAGAAAATTAAAATAAGTCCACAAAAGCCAAACTACGACTTTGTTTTGATACCATCTAAAGCCAAACTATGACCTGAATTTAGATACCATCTAAAGAATAGCTTTGATGCATTAGACACTAATGACTGAAGACCAGAGGAGCTGTAGGATGACATCAAGAACACCATACATGAAAAAATCAAAATGCCATTAGAAAGGCAGGAAAAGAAAGAAAAGATCAAAATGGATGACAGAAGAGATTCTGAAACTTGCTCTTAGATATAGACAGGCTAAAGCAATGGAAAGAAATGATGAAGTAAAAGAGCTGAGCAGAAAAATTTAAAGGGCAGCTTGAGAAGACAACGTATTAGAATGAAATGTGCAAAGACCTGGAGCTAGAAAACCAAAAGGGACGAATATGCTCAGCATTTCTCAAGCTAAAAGAACTGAAGAAAATATTCAAGCCTGGGGTTACAACATTGAAAAATTCCATGAGCAAAATATTGGATCATGCAGAAACATCAAATATGGAAGGAGTACACAGTCACTGTACTAAAAATAACTGTTAAACCATTTCAAGAGATAGCATGTAATAAAGAACCCATGATACTGAAGAAAAAAGACCAAACCACACTGAATGCATTGGTCAAAAAGAAGGCTCCAGGAATTGATGGAATACAAATAGAAATGTGTCAACAAACTAAAGAAGCGCTGGAGGTGCTCACTTATCCATACTAAGAAATTTGGAAGGCAGCTACCTGGCCAATTTATTGAAAAGGATCCTTATTTGTGCCCATTTCAAAGAAAGGTGACCCAATATAATATGAAAATCAAACAATATCATCAATATCACATGCAAGAAAAACTTTGCTGAGGATAATGTACTGATACAATTGTTTTTTAATTAACAGTGAGCTGCCAGAAATTCAAATCAGATTCAGAAGAGGATGTAGAACAAGGGATATGATTGCTGATGTGAGATGGATCTTGGCTGAAAGAAGAGAAAGATATTTACTTGTGCTTCACTGACTATGCAAAGGCATTCAACTGGGTGGTTCATAACAAACTCTGGATAACATTGCAAATTATGGGAATTCCAGTACACTGCATTGTACTCCTGAAGAACCTGTACACCAACCAAAAAGCAGTCATTCAAACATAACAAGGGAATACGGAATGGTTTAAACTCAGGAAAGGTGTATGTTAAGGTTGTATTCTTTCTCCATGCTTACTCAATCTATATGCTGAGTAAATAATCTGAGAGGCTAGATTATATGAAGAACATGCCATAAGCACTGGAGGAAGACTCATTAATAAACTATGATATGCAGATGATACAACTTTGCTTGCTGGAAACAAAAAGGAGTTAAAATACTTACTGATAAAGATCAATAACTAAAACCTCAGTATGGATTGTACCTCAATGTAAAGAAAACAAAAATCCTCACAACTGTACCAATAGACAGCATCATGATAAACAGAAAGGATTGCAGTTGTCAAAGACTTCACTTTACACTACCAATGTCCGTGGACACAGCAGTCGAGAAATTAAACAACATATTGCATAGAGCAAATGTGCTGTAAAAGACCTCTTTAAAAATGCTAAAGAACAAAGATGTCACTTTGAGGATTAAGGTATACCTGAACCAGGGCCATGGTTTTTCAGTCACCTGATATGTATGTGAAAACTGGATAATGAACAAGGAAGACCACAGAAGAAGAGATGCATTTGAATTATGGTGTTGGTGAGGAATAATTGAAACTACCATGGACTGCAAGAAGAAACAAATTTGTCAAAGAGAATATTCCTTTGAAGACAGGATAGTAAGATTGTATCTCTTGTACTTTGGACATGGTGTCAGGAAGGGCCAGTCCCTAGAGAAGGACATCATGCTTGGTAAAGTGGAGGATCAGTGAAAAAGAGGAAGACTCTCTTTTTCAAGAAGGACGGTGCAAGACCATCAGTGTTTGTTTCAATTTGTTGTACACAGGGTAATCGTGAGATGGAATCAACACGGCAGCTCCTAACAACAAGGGAAGTATTCTACAAAGTTTACATTATTCTTCACTCAACCAAAGGCTGTCAGCATAAAAAAAGACAGTCCCTTATGTATATACATGCATTCTCAATACAGGCAATGCATGAAAACTTGGTGTCTTAGTTATCTAGTGTTGCTATGAATATAGCAGGTGGATGGCTTTAATAGATAGAAATGTATTCTATCACAGTTTGGGGAGGCTAGAAGTCTGAACTCAGAGTACCAACTGTGGAAAAGCTCCTTGTCTCTTGTCAGCATCTGCAGGTCTGGCATTCTTTGGAGATCTTCATGTGGGTTGACATCAGTCATTTCCTGGATCTAGGAACTGCACAGTACAGGGATCTCAGGTCTAAAGGACTTGCTCCACTACTGGTTCTTCTATTTTGGTGGTAGTTGTTACTGTTAAGTGCTATCAAGTTGAATCCAAGTCATAGTGACCCTTTATAGGGTTTCTGAGGAATGACAGTACATTTGAACTGCCGACCTTGTGGTTGAAACTGACCTTGCGATCCAGTGCTTATCCTACAGTGCCACACCAGAACGCCAGTAGGTCCCTCCTTTTCTGCTCAAGCCCCTCTCCTTTTATTTCTTGTAAGACAAAAGGTGCTGCATGCCACATCCTGGGGATCAGGGTGGTGGTGGCATTAAGGCTGGTGTGGAGCTGTAGGATTGCAAAGTCTGTTTGAACTGCAAGGTCAGAGGTTCAAACTCACCAGTTGCTCCTTGGAAACCCTATACAGGTCCCCTAGAAATTGGAACTGACTTGATGGCACTTAACAACAACAACAATCTCACCTTTAATCCTTTTATTGATTTATCACATCAAATCACATCATGGGGATAGCTACATCTCAACTGCCAAACTACCAAGAATCCTGGCCCAGTCAAGTTGACACAAAATCTTATCATACTGGGTTAATCTTTTTGTAAAATTTTCATGTTTTTGTTGTTAAGTGCCATCGAGTTGGTTCCAACTCATAGTGACCCTGTATAAGGTTTCTGAGGAGCAGCTTGTGGGTTTGAACCTCTGATCTTGCAATTCAGTTTACCTTCTGGTCCAGGGCTTATCCTATAGTGCCTAATACTTCCTGACATTTCTTTCCCGTTCATCTGCCTGATGAGGCCAGCACAAACTTCTATTATTCTTTTATCTGAAAAGGTTATAGCCAAAAGCTGTATGTAGGACAGTTAGTTCTACACTAACATTCATGGGGTTGGCATGAGTTGGGGTTAGCTTGTTGGCAACTGAATGGTTAGTTGGTGCTTCAGTAGTAAAGATACATACTTTTAAAAAATAATGAACTCTTGCTATGCCACCACACTTATAAATCTGGGACAGGAAAAAAGTTCACGATCAAAGAAATGCTTTAAAGAAAAATGTAAATTTCTGATCCTCTCAAATTGCATCCTTATAATGAATTTCTTTTTATGCTATTATCCTTTGAGCTTATGCAAATGCAATTCACTAGATGGTTAATAAAAGAAAACAAGTCATTGGTATTTCAGTAGTTTGAATATATTAATGCTTCTAATTTGTTATTTGGCAATCAAGATTTTACATGGGAGAATTAAACAATTAAGAATGTAAGCTCACAAATGTAAGCAGCTTACAGTGATATGTACATTTTAGCGTGTGGCGCTGTGGCTTAATGCACTGGACTGCAAAGTTGGTTTTAACCACAAAGTCGGCAGTTCAAGCTCACCAGCTACTCCTTGGAAACCCTATACAGTGTCGCTATGGGTTGGTACCAACTCAACAGCACTTAACAAAAACAACAATATATTTCCTAAATTTATTTTAGTTGTGCTGAAAATAATGATGACAATAATTAATGTTTTTTAAAGTGGTATTTCACCTCAAATAGACAATAACTGAAATGGGGGGGGGAGGGGAGAAATCAGCAAATTAGAGAATAAGATAGTCAAAATTATAAAGCTAAAGAGCATCAAGAACAGCTTTTGTAATTTTGACTCTCTTATCCACTAATATTAGGCTGTTAACCTCAAGGTCAAGGAGCTCTGGTAGCGTAGTGGTTACGAATCAGGCTGCGAACCACAAGGTCAGCAGTTCGAAACTACCAGCTGTTCCGCGGGAGAAAGATGAGGCTTTCTGCTCCCATAAAGATTCACAGCCTCGGAAACCCTGTGCAGGGCCACTATGAGTCGGAACTGACTCCACGGCACATAACAACAACAACCTCAAGGTCAGCAGTTCAAAGGTCAGCCACTAAGCTGGAGAAAGATGAGGCTTTCTGTTCCCATCAAGATTTACAGCCTCACAGGGTTGTTAAGGGGCAGAAGCAACTTTACCACACATCACCACCACCACTCTACGTATAAGGAAACCAAAGCTAATGAGGTTGCCCAAATTCACAGTCGGTTTGAAACTAGGACTTAAAACTGTCCTGGCTGTCTGGCCCAGCACCCGTACTACAAGGTCCTTCTGCATTCTTATACTGAAAGAAATGACATGACCTTCCACCTTACTGCCAGCTGAGTGATTAGATTCTACTGTGCCAGGAGCAAGACAGGCAGGATTCAGATCCAAGCATTTCACTCCCTTCAGAGCTAGACTAGCTTTCATTTAAAGGGGTACACTATAGTAGGATCTGGTCTAGGCATCATCTTGAAAAGCATCTTTTCTCTAAGAACTCAAAATATTTGGAGTTTATAAAAATCCTCAAGAGGTAGCTAATACTGATGTTATGAGCCAAACATCAAAAGACATGAAATAAAATGATGAATAAAAAAAGTATGATTCAAACTCATCATGAAAAGAGAAGTCAGGCCCAAATGAGTCCCAAGTCAGGCAATGGTAACATATAATACGCATTATGTTTTTGTCTCTCCCTGTATTCTTGCTTTTTCTGCTACTTTTTTTCTCTCTCTTCTTTCCCCTCTGACTTCACATATATGCCAGGAATTCTCATGGTTAATAAACAGTGAAGTTGAAGAGTTTGCTAACATTTGTTCTCGATAGCAGGGCACCCTTGAAATACATCTGGGTTCAGGAGTTGAAAGTGTCAGAGCGGGATGGAGGAAAATCAGGCAATGGGTCAAAAACGAACCAAAAGAATACAATAGAAATTGTACATTTATGGTTTTCCTTTGTATCTCCTTTCTTTAGTTTTCATGGGCTCTAAGTTCAATGAAAATTGTTTGCTTTAGTAGATGCTTCCCTTGTAGTTTTAAGATTTGTTGTTGTTAAGTGCCATTGAGTCATTTCAACTCATAGCAATCCTACAGAGAGTTTCCAAGGAGAGGCTGGTGGATTTGAACTGCCAACCTTTGATTCATGGTCCAGTGTTTATCTTACAATGCCACACCAAGAGGTCAAAAATAATATACATGGAAGGCAGAAAGCAAAAGTTGGTACTTTTAAACAGAGGCAATTTAATAATGGTGGTGGGGTGACTCTCAAAGGCCTAAAGAATATTGGCTCATAAGAGCTGAGCACTTGAAAATGTTCCCTCTTTAATCCCCCTTTGAAATATTCCCCAAACAGAGTCTGAGATACTGTAACTAAAGGATAGGACTTAAAACAGCTTACAGTCCACTCGAGGTTTACCTGTGATAGTTAAGGTTTGTGTTTCTAAGTTAAGGTTTGTGATTCTAAGATCGACGGTGATGCTATCACACCCGTGATGTGATCTGATGAGATCAGCCCTGATCTGACGCAATTATCCTAAGTGTTATAAATCCTCATTTCTATGATGTTAATGAAGCCAGATGCAGTCTGCAGGATTAGATTGTATCTTGAGTTAATCTTTTTTGAGATATAAAGGGACAGAGAAGTGAGCAGAGAAAAACGTTCCCAGTG